TATAAATAAATAAGATGATTTTTATCTAGTTGATCATCTTATTAATTTGTAACATGACACATTCTTGTTTACGCGATATGCTGATTTCGTAAAGAAATATTATCAATTAGGATATAAAAAAAAGTTTTTTTTTCTGCTTTTTTGTTAAAATATATTTTACAAATTGCGTATTTGTATTTATAAATGCATAATTATTAAGTCTCTTGTTGTTTTCAAGCATGATACGAGTTTTTAAAATATTACATTTCTTACTTCTTTTACATTTTAACAGAGGATGAGTTTTAAAAAATTAAATATTTTTATATGCTTTTTTAAAAAAATTAATTTATTAATAGTCTTCTATTTGCAATTTTTGTATATTATTTGCTGCTAATTAAAATTTTTGTGCAGTTCTTAAAAAAAAGTTTGCTCACCTTGCAAATATCTCCTTCATTTCGATGCAATCTGTTGCCTGACCTTGATTTTCCACGCTCTGGGTTACTTGTTCACCATATTTTTCCATTATCATAAACATTTGCTTTATTTTGCGGAAGTAAATGCGGGTATCAGCTTGCTACGCATGTTTTTCCACTTTTTTCCAGACAGATTGAACAAATTGCCTGACAACGGATCATATTTTTCGTTGCAAAACGTTCCACGATCATGGAAGCTCTCGAATTCTCTTATTAACACCGTTCGAATAAGATCGAGATCGGCGATTACCAAATTAGGCTTAAAGAATGAATACATTCCGAAGGCACGGTGGTCCTTGTATCTTACATAGACATCAAGATAAAGTTCACCTACGGAATTCATTTTCTATTCATGTTTCGCATTTTTTCACATCAAATAGAGACACAACAATATAATAGAATAAATTGCTAGATTTTTATGACTTTGGAAGAGTTTTAAAAAAGAATACTCACACACAATTTATTATATGACAATATAATCTTTTAATATAACAAAATGTAAGTATCATTTTAATCTTACTCTTGCAAAAATATTTAATGGGACAACTTTATACGTCATAAAAGATAGAAAAATAATTTAGAACATACATATGTATGAATTCTGTATTTATTAATTATTATTCCACTTAAAATAAAATATTTGTTTTTTTAATTATTTTTTTATTATTATTACAAATTTAAATTAATAAAGAAAACAGAAAGTAGAGCGAAAGGAAGAAAAATGGAATAGTAAGATTGAAATATAAGTAGAAAAAAAGTCGGTGACGGAAGAGTACGCGGAGATGTAAATATATGAAAAGGATTGTTAATTAATGCAAAATACTTACCCAGAGATTTTTTTCCAGTTACAAAAGCTGTCAAATTGCCCGCTGGTACAACAGGTTTGACATAAAAAACGCCTTTTTTGCGCCAATAATTAAATAGTACATACTTGTAATAAATATACACAGCACTTATAACAATAACGAGAAATTCGAGTAATTCTATAAACATGACGAATCAATATATTGTCTGAAACATAAATATTTAATGGTCAACTTCATAATAATTTTATACTAAGCAAAATTAAATTGTATCAGTTTTAGTAATAAACATTAATTCTTATAAAAAATAGAAAATTATTTATTTGTATATCTACGTCTTTGTTAATCATACACACACTTAATGCTGAAGGCACATATTTTGAATAAAGTAAAAGATTTTTACACATACGATCAGTGTTTAAATTGATATGGCACCAATTATTTTATTTTTTAGACGTACTGTGTATATTATGATTTATGTATTTTTATAAACCTTTTTGGAGAAAAAAATCACTGTGATAAGAAGTTCTTCCTTGCAGGATGTATCTATTTGTATGCGTCGCAATCGAATCACTGTGAAATAGATATTTCTTTGTCAAAATTTCTTGTAATACTGGAGATATTAGATGTTTGTAATTTCGCTTTAAATATCAAAGTTATGTAAAAACATAGATGACTTTTATATAATAGACTGTTAACATGCTATAGTTTATTCAAAGCTTATTTAAAACTTTACCCAGCCATTTGCAAGTCACCACACGGATAAGATTATACATGTCAGTAATATTTCAAGTAGCAAGCGATCATTATCTGATTTATTTATTATTTTGCCGTCAAAATAACCCAGTGTGATGTCATGATTAACGATTAGGACATTAGGTGATGACCGCTTGCTATTTGGAAGACACCAAGTAGTACATAAAAAAATATTGTCTGTGACCAAGTACATAGAAAAATATCATAAATTGCTGTAAATTATAAATATACATAAATTAATTCAAAAAATTTAATATATATATATATATTTTCATATTTTGTAGTGAGAGAAATACAGATCGAAAAATGTCTATTAGACGTTTAATATAAATCTTTTCGACTGTCATTTTTTATTGTTAGCGTAATATATATATATAAATATTTCTAGCAAAAAAAACGTAATATTTTTGGATTCTGTATAATTTGAATTTTGAAAAGACTATTATGAAAAAATTATTTCTTTGTAAAGATTCATGTGTTATTTATACAAAAAAAATTAAAATAACAAAAAACTAAAAAACTATACATCTATAGTTTTTTATACTTCAAAGTATTATTAAAAAATTCAAAATTTATTTAATATTTTTGTTTAAATTTTTGTAATAATTATAATCATGTGCTTTGCAAATTATGTATATCACTTTTGTGCTGTAGATTTGTGCACATATTTTCAAAACTTTTGAATAATTTAATAAGTTATAAAATTATTACCGTATTATAAATTAACAATCCAAAAATATTTATACATTTTTATATTAAATAATCAAAACAGTTCATAATATTAACATTTGATTACAGAAATTGAAAACTCTTTAATTATCTCTGAGCTCTTCTGAATTAAGAGGATTATTATTGTGTAATGAAACTTTATCCAGAGACAATTGGCTATTTTTAATCTTTCACTTGCAAACTGTTTATTTCCAGATAGCACAGTAAATTTGCAAAGTATTCTTCAAATTTTCTTCTTTCCTAAATTGTAATTCTTTAAGAATTCATAGAAGAATACTATAAGAATGATTTAGGAAGTTACATGCACCATAATTGGAATCCTTGAAAATTTCTTGGAGTACCCTAGTAGAAATTTCTGCAGTTTGACTGAACATCCGGCCAGTTACTATCTAATATTACTGGTTTTCTTTATATACAAAAATACTGCATTGCAACTAGGCAAAATTAGTTAAAGCAATTTTATTATAAAATATTATTATATAATATTATATTTTATTGTATAATAAAAAAGGTAAAAAAAAGGCGCCAAGTACACGCTCTTGTCATAACTAATATTGTTTTACTTTTCAAAAAAATTGTCGTATATATTAAACCTTTCAAAAAAACCTGTCGTATATATTAAAATTTTCAAAAAAAGCTATCCTATATATTTCTTACAAAAAAATATGATATTAGAAAATGGCACCAAGTGGGACTAAAGAACTATAAAAAAACTTGTACACTATTTCTATAAAACTCT